TATGAACGATTCCAAATATCAGTCAATTTTGGCACAAAACCTTCAGGCCTCTGCTAAAATAGCAATAGCAAATCACTTGGGCTTATATTCTGCTGCACTATGTTTTATAGCTCTCTAAGCTGTTTACAGAGACAGCATATCACCCCAGCAATCTCATTTTACTGACCTCAGAAGGATGGAAGGCTGAGTCAACCTTGGGCCAGTCAGAATCGAACTCCTGGCAGTGAGCAGTGAGTTAGCTTGCAATACTACATTCTAACCACTGTGTTACCACGGCTCTTCAAACTGCTGAAGAGGAAGAGGAATTTTATCTTTCAACATGACAGTGATCCAAAGCACTTCTCCAAATCAACAAAACAATGGTTTCACCAGAAGAAGAAAAGTTTTGTAATGGCCCAGCCAGAGCCCAGACATGAACTCAGTTGACAATCTGTGGAGTGAACTTAAGAGGGGCTGTGCACTGGAATTGCCCTCACAGTCTGATAGATTGTGCAAGGAAGGAAGATTGCCATGGCAAGATGTGCCATGCTGATGGTCTGCTACCCCAAAAACTGCTACTATAAAAATAGGTGCTTCAAAATAGGTCAGTATTTGTTTAAGGTGTCTGCACACTTATGCAACCACATTATTGTAACGTTTTAAATTATTTTCCACCCAAAAGATTTCTCTTGGTTTTCAATGGGCTGTACAGCTTATATGTTATATTAAAGGTGGAAAAAATTCTGAAGTGGTTTGTTTTGATGATTTTTTTTTACATCTCAAAAATGTGGCATTTTACTGTGTGGGTAGACTTTCTGTATTCAGTTTACCTGTATAAAATCATGGAAGGTCCCCTTTTTTTTGTTTAAACCAGCAGAAATTTTATTTATTAATAATATTTATGCAAGTTATATGGCTGTCCATCTCTGGTTCTTATACAAGAGAAAAGATTACTTGTATATTTGGCATGCTTATTTATGGATACAAGTAATGATTTTCTGTTTATTTAGTCTCAAAATTATACTGCTATTCTAGTGCTTGCACATTCATCAAAACATAATAATAAATACTTCTCCAATCTTAAATACTTAATAATTAACTGAGTAAAACAAAGGAAAATGACACCGGACAAAAAAGTGTAGCAATTGAAGTAAAGTATTAAATGTGTTTTACATTTCTTATAAGGATTACTCTAAATAAAAAGGCGCAATTTAGTATATTGGAGAAGAGTTACAATGTTTAGATATGTCTAGTTCTGGTTCTTTCTCTTACCTGGATCAACTGGCCCTTCTTATCATTCAAACATAGAGAAAGGCTTTATAGCAATAGCACTTAGACTTATATACCGCTTTATAGTGTTTTACAGCCCTCTCTAAGCGGTTTTTACAGAGTCAGCATATTTCTCCCAACAGTCTGGGTCCTTATTTTACCTACCTCGGAAGGATGGAAGACTGAGTCAACCTTGACCCTGGTGAGATTTGAACAACCGATAGTCAGCAGAAGTGGCCTGTGGTACAGCACTCCAACCACTGCGCCATAGAGGCTCTTACAGTTTATAAGATACACAGTTTGGAAGACAGTGGCCTTTAACACTTTGCCCCTAAGCCTTTTAGGCCTAATGAATGGATATTTGCTCTTGTAAAATAGATGTGTTGTTATTATTGACAAAAAAATTGTTTTTTATAAAATTAGAGAACTAAAAGTGATGTTAGAAGTCATCTAATCCAATGGCCTTCTGTCTAAATCATCTACAACAGATTAACATCTACCTTGTGCCCCAAAAACTCCAGCAAAAGAAAACAATAATTTTCTTGTGGTAGCCTTGACTGACAGCACACGCACTCCAGAAACTCTTCCAGAATCTAGGCAGAGCCTGCTTTCTTAAGGTTTTTAAGTCAGTGGTTCTGATTTTGACATTTGAGGCAATAGAAAATAAGATCATCCCATCTTCTGCATAATAGTTATTGAGACACTTGAAGAGTGTCTGTCTCATATCCCTGTCCCCAGCATCATTTATTTTGTCGGATAAACATAATCAGATTTTTAAGTGCTCCTTACAGGTCTTGATTTCCAAATATTTTACTGCATTAGTTGTCTTTGAAACTGCTTCTATTTGTCACTGTCCTTAGAAAACAACAATACAACCTTTGGTAACTGAAACAGTATTGCAAATGAAGTCTAATCAAGGCAGAGTAGACTGGAAAAAATCAAGACTCATGATCTGGAGTTTGTGCTGCTATTAATCTCCCTTCCCCCTCCCCCCCAAATACTATCTTCCTTTCTAATTAATGCATCACGCAGCTACCTTACATTTAATTTGTGATTGAGAAGGAATGTACATTACTATCAAGTAACTTCCCCATTCCATGTTTGTCCCTTTTATTGTCCCTTTTATTTTTCCTGGCAGATAATAGTGTTTTATTTCCTCCCTGTTCAATTCCATTCTGTTCATTTCAGCCCATTACCTGTTCTTTTCTAGACTTCTCTGGATCTTCCGTCCACTCTTTACTAGCCAACTTTATCAGCTTTGTGTCACACTTAATCGGCATCCTCTCAATTCTCTAATCCATCATTGACGAAAGTGTTAAACAGCACAGGGCTTGGGACACAGCCTTGTAACCATCCACTTGATGCTACCCTCCAAGCCGAAAGCATCATGAGATAGTTCTTCAGGAGCTTTGCTGAAAACATTCCCCGGATGTGCTAACCTAGTACCTCTCCCGAAGTATAACATGATATGTTTGCAACAAATGTGAGCATACTTAACTCTTGTTAATTAGGGCATTCTCATCAAAGTGCTGTTTAATAATATTAGAGTATTATACATGAAATTACTGACAGGTCTGTAGTTTTCCAGGTCCTCCTTTTCAAGGATGTAGATGACATTTGCTGAGCCTTGCCAGTCTTCTAGAGTTCTGAAAGATTATTGAGAGTAGTTTTGTGACCCACTTCATTAGCATCTATCCGACCCTGGAAACTTGAATTTATTTAAATTAACTAAATGTTTGTTTATTCTCTTCTTGCCTAACCTAAACTTCAGTTTCCTCCTTCCCCTCCTATGGCATCATGATGACCATTTAGAGCTATATTCCTCTTCTGGGAGAAGTCTGGCATAAAATAGGAGTTTAAAAATTCTGCCTTCTCAGGCTATCACTCATTACCAATACGATACTTTTTCTTGTCAGTGGAGCACTTTGACTTACCTTTTATTTCTAAGTAGCCCCAGCTCATTCTGAGATTTAATCTTTCTGACATAATTTATAAAGTCCATTCCTATAATGGAAGAAAAAATAGAGTTGCTTTGTTTTATCTTTCTTTATGCATTCCTCCTTTAGTTTTCTTTAAGTGTTTCTTTTTCTGTTCAGGATTTTTGAGTGTTTTTGTTTTGTTTTGTTGAAGTTAATGCTTGGCACATGTTTGTCCTTAGGTGATTAGTAATCATTCTCAATCTTGTTAAATTTCAGTTGTCAATATCGGTCCATTATTTTAGAATTGTAAGACCGTATGTTAAATCCAGGTCTTCTGGAATTAAATATGGCTTCCTGTTTCCTAAATGTTTATTCAGTTTTAATATGACCTTCCATTAGAAGATTTGTGATCTAAAGAGAAAGAAGCATTAGATTCATAAGTTGAAATAAATCACTGTGACATTTCCCCTAATACTATTTAATTTAGTTCTTTAGTTCAGCAGGCAGAATTATTTCCATTTCTTCTGTGAATGATGCTGCCCACCTTTGAGTTTAGAGTTGGTGATCACAAGTGTCCTGTGTTGAACAGCATCATTGGCTTTAAAGGTCCAGGGCGTCCTGCCCTTCTCCATGTTACAGTGATGTACCTCTCTGTTGAGCTCAGCTGCCCATTGCTTTGGAATGATCATTCCATTGTGCTACTGCAGTACAGGTAGTGCTTGACTTACGACCACAGTTGAGCCCAACAGTTTTGTTGCTAAGTGAGACAGATATTAAGTTTGTTTTGCCCTATTGTAGGATCTTTCTTGCTGCAGTTGTTAAGTGAATCACTGCAACTGTTAAATGAATAACATAGTTGTAAAATGAATCTGATTTCCACTTTGACTTTGCTTGGTTGCAAAAAGTGTTTACATGATCCTGGGACATGCAGCCATCCTAAATATGAGTCAGTTGCCAAGCACCCATGGTCCCCCTTTAGTTTTCTGTTTTTAAGTATGTCTTTTCTAACTTTTAGGTTTCATGCATATTAATACTTTTACCTTTGAGTCAGCGTTCATCATATTTTCATAATGATTCAGCATTCATCATATTATAAAGCAATGTTTCTGTTCATTCTATTTGATTATTTTTCTTAGTCAATTAGGTTAAAAGAATATCAGTTCTTAGGTACATTTTGTCAAATCAGAACCATTTTAGAATGGATCTAATTTAAATCATTTTTTTCAAGAAGACTCAGCTTCATGATTTAAATCACTATTTACTATGCAAAATCCTATATTGATTTCTAAGAGTTTGTCTTTATGGTTTGATACAATCTACATAATTATTCTTCAGTATCGAGAGCAGTTCAATTTTTAGAAGTACAAGTATATAGAATATATATAATTATTTTGAATATTTGAAATATATTTTCTCATGATGTGCTGGAACAACTATCACTGATTTTTAAATTATAGTACATTGAATAGGATTATTTATTGACTTTCGTTGCACATTTAGAGAGAATTACAGTCACTTTAAAGTATTTATCTGCCCTGCTCTTACTTGTTTCAAATGATTATTTATCCAAAAACATTTTCATTTATAAGCTGCTAAATAAAATTAGAAACATTCAGATATATTTGGAAGAAGGCAGTTAGTCATCAGCCAACCACCTTTTTTTTTTGGAAAAAAATATATCCTTGAAATGCTATCCTCTTAACATTTCAAATTTGAGAATTCTATTTAAATACATTGAGTTTTAGCAATTTAGACACTGTGTATGAAGCAAACGGTTGATCAGGACTTTGCCAGGAAAATCACTTATCACATTTTTCTCATTGACTCATATAGCTCAAAGAAAATGAATGGCACATTGGATCATCCTGACCAACCAGACCTAGATGCTATCAAGATGTTTGTGGGCCAAGTCCCACGGAGTTGGTCTGAAAAAGACTTGCGAGATCTATTTGAACAGTATGGTGCTGTCTATGAAATTAATGTCCTGCGAGACAGAAGCCAAAACCCTCCTCAGAGCAAAGGTGAGAGGTTTTCTTCTTCCCATCAAGTTTTAGAAAGGCAGCATTTGGATGCGCTTAAGGCCACATAGAGAACCCGATGACTTAATGATTGGCATCAAGTATAATTTACATTAAAAGTTTTATCCAATTGTTTCCATTATTTATAACAACATATAGAGTCATCTGTTTATACCAAAATATAGAGGCACCTACTGGTGTCACTCTTTACTTTAGTTTAAATTACTACAGTAATAGTAAATAGTTAATAATAAATTGAACTAATTTTATATTGTTATCCACAATTATATGTGCTAATTACATTTTATAAATAGTGACCATTTATTATCCAGTGAACATCTACAAAATTGGTTTCATAGTATACACAAGAGACAAAAAAGACAAAATTGTTCTGACCCCCAGTCCAGTTTATAAACTACTAACTTATTAGCAGGACAAGTAAAATATGTGAGTCATAAATGAGGTGTGGGGGAAGTTTATTTCAAGAGCAGATGGGCCAGTTATACTATAACTTACTGGGCCAGTTATACTATAAATTACACTTTGATGGTCTTATGTGGTAGAATGGTAGAATCTGTGTCACCTCAGATGGTGGGCAGAGGATGTTAGAGTCGAGGTAATAACTGGGGGGAAATTAAGAAAAATATAGTAAGCCTTCTTGCTCTGCTTTTTATTTGCAGGACATTTGGGTTTTCCCCCTGCACAAAATCGGAAGAAATAATTATATAGTTTGTGCGAACTCGCGAAACATAAATTAAAAAGACCTAATAAACATATAACATCTTAAATATGCTGTCTGATCTAGAAAGGATTCATCTGCAGAACAAGTTTATTCTCCCATCCACTGAAGCATTATTATCAGTAGGATATTGAAACCGTTGTAGTATAAGAAACTGCATAGAACAGAGTGAGTTAATAAAGATCCCCTTCTTCCAATAAAATTGTCCACTTTGTGTAGGGCATCTCTGGATCTAACAGAGATTGTTTAAACATAGTCTATAATTAGGTAGTTTTGTATCATACATTCCACCATAAATTAACTAATTATTTAAGATTCTTGAAATAAACAGCTTTTAGTCTCATAAAAAATGTCAGTGGTCATGTGAAGGCTACACCTGGAATATATGGCATTCAGAGGTACATGTCTCAAAAAGTTCAGAATTGGGTTGCTATGGCCAACTTAGATAATTAATTGATGTAATTTAGGCTTGAAATGATTTTTAGTGTGTGTTACAGAATGTGTTTATTTCATAGGGTGCTGTTTTGTTACATTTTATACCCGTAAAGCTGCACTAGAAGCACAGAATGCTCTTCATAACATGAAGATCCTCCCAGGGGTATGATAAATTATATTATTAGTAGATTGTTAATTTACTCTGTATCAGCAAATCCTCACTGGAAATGCTACATTTTCCCTAGTAGATTATGCGGAATCCTTTCCTACTGTTTGTTTATGACTTATATCAATTTATATTTTTATAAATAGAATTATATCCTAAATATTACATGTTTCAAATTAATATATTTTGTGTATGTGTGATGGGTGATGCTTTGTAGGATGTGCTCAAGACTTTGAATTCAACATTTTTCAAGCTTGAAATGCCCCATTTCAGTTACTAAATAGTTTCAAGCCTTCCTAGAAGTGATTTAAACATAAATAGGGCTAATTCATATTCAAAATACTTCATAAATGGACAAAAGAGGCCATTCTAAGCACGATATGATTGCTTCATACTAGAAACATTTTGAATGTGTTTTGCATATTCCAAACAGTTTATTTTGAAAAATGTAATATTTCTCCATTACTTAACACAGATGCACCATCCCATTCAAATGAAGCCAGCTGACAGTGAAAAGAATAATGGTGAGTATGTGTAAAAAATTGTTTGGTCTTGGTATGTTTTATCACATTGTTGTGGCAACATTCATTACATTATATGCCCAAAATGGCAACTTATGGACATTTTAAAAAAATTAAAGGCTCACATCCCAACAATGCCATCTATGAAATAAACATCCTCTCAGAGTTTTATGCTATTCTGTTGAAAATTAGAATAAGAAATCCAGACATTTTATTTCATATTCAAAAGAAGCCAGCTTCAAGTTTGAAACACTTCTGATAATGTTGAAATAGATTGTTTGAAACTCAAAATGTATGTTTCCAGTTCATTGTTTTTTGCACACAGCTCTTCTACTAAACTCTGAGAGAATAGATTTTCTGACTTTTGCTCTAGACTGAAGATTCTAGATTTCATTTTGGGACAACTTACTGGTAAATTTGTTGGATTGTTCTATAAAATCAAGGAAACTTATCCAATCACATAAATAGTCAAGCCACTTTTCTAACTTTTGTTGTTGCTTTTTTAGCAGTGGAAGATAGAAAATTATTCATTGGGATGATCTCAAAGAAGTGCAATGAAAATGATATCAGAGTGATGTTTTCCTCTTTTGGTCAAATTGAAGAATGCAGAATTCTACGTGGTCCTGATGGTTTAAGCCGAGGTACACGCAGACCTATTTACAACTGATGACCTCTCTTCCTTCTCTCTTCCTAACCCTTGTCTTTCCCCACCTGCATACACATACATTCCCCTTATATTTAATTGGGAAGTTTTAGAAATGTTCTTTGATTAGGAGATAGCTTGGATAAACTTGGATAAATTAATTTTGATTGTATTCCCTTCTCAGGTTGTGCTTTTGTGACTTTTACCACAAGAGCAATGGCACAAACAGCAATCAAAGCAATGCATCAAGCACAGACCATGGAGGTAAAAAAGATACCAATTTTGAGAGACTTTTACGTTTGTAACTCAGTATTGCTAATTGTATTCAATGGACAATTTAAAGTGTTAGTTTTAACTTTTATAAGCCTAAACCATTTGGGGCAAGGGTCTTCAAACTTAGCACATTTAAGACTTGTGGACTTCAACTCCCAGAATTCCTGAGCTAACATGACTGGAGGAGGAATTCTGGGAGTTGAAGTCCACAAGTCTTTCTTAAAGCTGTCAAGTTTGAAGGCCCCTGATTTAGGGTCTTCTATCTGATGATTGAATTTTTTTGACATCCCTTAAAGTCAACAGAATACACCCTCTTAAAGATACCTTCACTTGAGATTCTTTTCATGTTTAGCTTCCAAGCTATAGAATGCATTTGGCCTCCTCTCTTTGCAGTATTGCCAAAGAAATTAATACTTTCCTTCTCAGCCAGATATTTTAGTTTATATTTAAAAATCTCTTAAAATTCTCATAAAATCACTTAAATCTTTATACATTGAACTGTTTTTGAGTTTTTAAGGTTTTTTTAAATTGTATTGATACCATCATAATACATAAATGGTTGGTTTAAGGTTTTCAGTTACTATGCTAACAGCCCTTAGTTTGTACCCGTGCAGGGCACATACTCACACTTCTCTCCAGTTATATGCAAAATAGGAAAGATATATAATATATGATACATGAATCTGCACTGGAATTCTGGAATATAACAGGTTGCTTTAAAAAGAAAACACTATTCTTTTTAAAGCAATTATTTAAAGAATGTAAATAGTCAGGATTTTGGAAAGATGACAAAAGCTACAGCTGTGTGAATTGTATTGCAGGGATGCTCTTCTCCCATCGTAGTGAAATTTGCAGATACTCAGAAAGATAAAGAACAGAAACGAATCGCACAACAACTCCAGCAACAGATGCAACAGATTAGTGCTGCCTCTGTTTGGGGAAACTTGGCTGGACTGAACACACTTGGACCCCAGTACTTGGCAGTGAGTGTGCTTGACAGCTTCTGTTCAGAATTATTTTCTAAATGGTTTTAACACATATGTTTTGTTTGCAAGTATTCTCATTCTGAGGCTCTGTTATAAGATCAAAAATTGGTAGTGGTAGTAGTGATAAGTACAGATGATTGAAATGTTTTTTAGCATTGAAGCCTTGCCATGTGTTATGATTTCTGTTGGTAAGAAAAAATGTGGCGCTTAGTTGAGGACTTATGGACTGTGTTGTACAACTTTGCATTATATAGCAGAGTTACCAGCTTTGTGGACTGGTGGGGTGGGGGAGGGGAGGAAGAAGGGGTGGTTCTATGCGAGTGGTAGGCAAGCACATGTGTCTGTTGCTTATGCAAATGGAGTGTGCATGCACATGCTCACCCGCCATTTTGGGCGGCCCAGTTTTAAAACACCTCACAGCCCAGTAGCGGGCCAGGGGTTGGGTATCCCTGTTAGAGAGTAAATAGGGAATTGAAGGTTTATTTTTCTTTTTACTACAGTATCAATATACGATACTCTACCAACTTGCACAGCACCCTTCCATATACACATATATGAAGACATTAATGTTGCCTGTTGCCTGTGGATTTGCACTTACAGCCTTCTTTCCTTGTTTTTATTTACCTTGCTCCTCCCAGTATCTGAGTAGGGAGGAGCTGGTAGATAACATTTCACCAGTGTTAGAAACCTTTGTAGCCAACATATTAGTGGCATACTAGTCATGAGCAAAGGGAGAATATTTCAGCTGGAATTGCATGGGAAATTGGATTGTTCTTTTTCTAATAGCATCCTTCTTGGTATGAGATCACTGCTGCTTTGTGTGTATTGGTGATATGTGTGGTCAGTAAGAATTGTGCTTGTAACGGCATTCTGGCTGTGGTGTAGTGCAGTGTCTCCCAGAAGTGGAGCCAGCCCTCATTCTCACTCTTGTTCTGTTTTTGGTGTAATGTCTAGCTTTATTTACAGCTCCTTCAGCAGACAGCAGCTGCTTCCTCTGGGAATTTGAACACACTGGGCAACCTTCACCCAATGGGAGGTAAGTTTCTTTCCCTTCTTTCCACTTGGGATCTGAGAAATAGGGTCAGTAGCAAAGTGAACATTGATTGGTATGCTGTGATATATTAATATATTAGTGAAGATAAATCTTGGTTGTATAAGAACTCAGGCACAGATGGTATCAATCACAAGTTTTTAACTTGAATATGAATATGCAGTAGCTGATCTTTTCACAAATGTAAGCACCTTCTCTTTAAAATTTGCTATATTCTATTTGGTGGGAACAGGTGCCAATCTGACCTCACTATTTAAAAAGGAATCAAGGCATACTAAAGAAAAATTATGGGTCAGTTAATCTGACACCTGTTCTGGAGAGGACTGGTTGAAAGTATTGTTAGAATTTTTTTAAAATATATATATATATATGTAGGAGACTTGCTGAAAAGGAGTCAGCATGACTTTCAGAAAGATTAGTCTTTTTCACTGATTTTCTAGACTATTTTAGGATGTAAGCAAGTAGGTGGACGAGGCTGATTCCATAGGTACATTATACCTGGATTATAAATAAAGTCTTGGTACAGAATTATTGTGAGCATGTTTGGTAGTGATATCATGTTTATGAGTAATAAAAATGGATTTTAAAAGATTTATGTGCCATATCTTTTAAAACTTATTTACGTTGAAATACAAAGGGGTAACAGTGGGTAAATGGGCTTCAAAATGGAAATGCACTTCAGTGTAAATAAGTATAAAATGAAATTGGCACACAAATCCAAGCTTTACTTGTATATTTATTGGATCCTGGCTGACAGAGGCTGACCCAGAAAAGGGATCTTGAGATTACAGTGGAGAGCTCAGTAAATAAATCAATCTACTGTGAGCTGCTGTTAAAAATAGAGTGAATTTCATTATATAAAACAAGGAGGAGTTGTTTAGTATGGCTTAGTAATAAGATTATTGAACAATTTCTTCCACCAAAACCCATTTAAGAGTGCTGCTGCTGCTGGGTCCACCAGTGGTTAATGGTACAGAAACAGACACGCTGCATTGATTGATGTGTTACAGGGTTGAATGCAATGCAACTGCAGAATCTAGCTGCATTAGCAGCTGCAGCTAGCGCAGCTCAGAATACCCCAAGTGGAACAACTGCACTCAACTCTTCCAATAGTCCATTAAGTGTGCTCACTAGTTCAGGTAAGGGAGTTGTTTGTTTATTTATTTGCTGTTTGATAAACCTATTTTTGCCTCTGTTTATATAACAATAGAACCAGTTACCATGATTCAATTATGAAACCCTGCCCTTTATGGAGATAAATAATTACATCCCGAAACACATTTTTATGATTGAAAAAATAAGAAAGTGGGTGCTTCTGATTTGCTGAATATGTATACATGCATTCATATTCACAAGGACAGGAAAAACTTCAGTTTCACAAGAGGATATTTATTGTTTTGTAAATGTAATTGATCCATTTTTTCAATGAACACCATCAACGTTCTATTACATTCTCTTGGATTTTCTTTGCAGAAACAGTTTTTTCAAAAATTGAAATAGTATTTGGAAACATTTGATTTTTACAGAGACATTGCTTGTACTACAACATGCTTGCTTTAATCATGCTTTTTGAACAAACAAGTTGGTCCTACAGATAAATGTAGTAATGGTTTATTTCCATTCAGTAGTTTTTAACTTGAACATCTCAGAACTGGATGGGACAGAAAAACTTATCAAGAATAAGCCATATAATCACAAATGAGGCACCTCTACAAGTTTTCACATCATAAATCACAGCAAGGCAGTAGCAGATTTCTCTCAACTTGTGGCTTATTGCTGTAAAACAAGGGCTAATTTATTTCTGATCTTATTCACATAACATCGGGCGAAAAGCAAGCCACACAAATTGTTCAGCTTGATATTGGAAACTTTTATGTCTGCTGACTGGAACTAAATGCTAATAATTTTAGATATGGAAGAAAATAAATGAAACTTAAGAAAACCATCAGAATTTAAAAATTAAACCTGCATGTGCTTGATTGAGCTCTTGCACCTCTTCTTAGATTTTGTTGCTGTACTAAGATATGATATCAGAGGGTTTATACACATAGTAAGGAACAAGATTAGTCACTGAGCCATCAGTATTTCGAGAAGGCAAAAGAGAAAGAATACTGTTCAGAATACTGCCTTATTCTGGTTAAACAGTAATAAATTCACTTGAGAGTAAAGAGCAAGTGATTCCAGCTTTTTGGATGAGCATTTCATTGGATATCACATGGGTACTCCAGATACTTCCATTGCGATTTATATTTAGGGAAAAAAATAGCAGGATTACTTCTGAACGTTGGTTAAAAAAAACTCTTGCTATTTCTTATCTGACTCGTACATCACACAAAAAAGGATGTTGAGACACTTTCTAAGAGTGCAGAAAAGAAGAACATGGATGATTAGGGGACTGGAGGCTAAAACATACAAACAATGGTTGCTGGAATATTGGGTATGACTAGTTTAATGAAAAGAAGAAATAGAGATGACATAGCAGTGTTCTGATATCTCAGAGTTTCCCGCAAAGAAGAGGGAGTCAAGCTATGGTCCAAAGCAACTGAGGGCAGGATAGAAAGCAGTGAATGTAAATTAATCAAGGAGAGATGCAACCTAGAACTAAGAAGAAATTTCTTGATGGAACAATTTATTTTCAGAAGTTGTGAATGCTCCAGCACTGGATAGGGTTTCCTTCCTGAACAGAGAGTTGGACAAGAAGACCTCCAAGGTCCTTCCAACTATGCTGTTCTGTTAAATATTCTGTTCTGTTAAAAGAAAAGATACCCTGTTTGGAACCAAGAGGATGCAAGGCTAAAGATTGCTATTCACTGAAAATTCATTTGGGAAAATAGAAGAGAAAGAAAAAGAAAAGCTTATCTTACTTTCCCTGGCCGCTTTCCACTTGATATTTTAGAAGGATCTTGAATGTGCTTTATTTAAGCCTTTCAGAGATTGTGCTAAGTTATTTTGATATTGTTGGAAGTTGTTGCTGATGTTTTAACTCTCTCATTTTAATAGCAGGTTCGTCACCCAGTTCCAATAGCAGTTCTTCAGTAAACCCAATGGCTTCTCTTGGAGCGCTGCAAACACTGGCAGGGGCTACTGCTGGCCTGAATGTTGGCTCTTTAGCAGGCAAGTATAGTGCATTGTAAAAAAAAAAAAAAAAGTTAGAATCCATCTTTGCTTAAAACCCATGTCTCAATTTCCCTTACTTGATCAATTACCTTGCTTGAAACCTTGATACTAATTCATGTTTCCTATATAGGAATGGCAGCCTTAAATGGAGGGCTTGGTAGCGGTGGCCTTTCAAATGGCACAGGGAGCACAATGGAGGCCCTAACTCAGGCATACTCTGGGATTCAGCAATATGCTGCTGCCGCATTGCCCACACTTTATAACCAGAGTCTTTTAACACAGCAGAGTATTGGTGCAGCAGGAAGTCAGAAAGAAGGTAGGTAGGAGGCAGGGTTGAAAAAGCTGTTCTACTGAGCTCTAGATGGCATGCTATACTCTTCTCCAGTGATACAGAATCTGAAGTTACGGCTAAAACATGGGACTTGTGGACATTTTGTAGTGCATTCTGCAGACATTTTTACAGAATATTCTGGCTACTCTGAAACATCTAATTCTAAAATTCTGTTTAGTTTTATCTCTCACCCAACCAAGAAATTCATTTTTTAAAATCAACACATAACAATATGTTATTTTCAATATTTCCAGTCATATTTCGGGATTATCAATAATTTATTTATGAGACAGTACGTAGTGGGTTTTGCAGACAGTATCCTTAATCTGTACAGTTGCTTTGCAAGTTATTTGGCCAGTGCTCTTAACTATTGCAAATTGGAGGATTGAAATTGGCAAAATCTTGGTTTTTGGCTGGGGTGGGGTGTTAATCATAGTTTAATGAAAGGTTATCTAATTAATTTTACCTGATGTGAAAGTGCTGTTACTTTGTGAATGACATTGTCTTATAGATCAGGGGTGTCAGACTCATGTCAAAACGGCATCACATGATATATCGGGAATTTTTTTCCCCCTTCACTAAACCAGGCATGGCCAGTGCATGACACATCCAGCCCATGGGCCAGGCATTTGATCATACATTTATTGTGTTTGTATCATATTTAAATACATGACAACCTTATTGAAACATTAATCTAAAGGTGTAAGCTTTAAAATGGAAAGAGTGATGGAGCTCCGCTATTGGCTCCATCCCTATTTTAAATTTTATTAAGGAAGGTACAGCCTGATCATCTTAATCAACTGTAGAACATCACAACTTCCTGAACTGGGATAGAAAATACCTATGTATTTAATTATCAAGATTTGTTTCTGTATTTCTGTCCTTTGACTGAAACTACAAATAATGATCCTTTATATTTTTAAGTATTTTTTTTACTTTTACTCTATTGCTATCTATTCTTTTCTTTTTTTTAATGAACACTAGGTATCATTTTTAATGTTGTGAGATAACTGATTCCTGGAGACAGATTTTTCAATAATAGCATGAGTTTGGACTGTTAAACATATTTTTACTTCTTCTTTATTCTCTGTATTAAAATCCAAGAAGTTCTACTTGTTTTAATTTCCTTCTAAATGAATATTTTAAAGGTCCAGAAGGAGCCAATCTGTTCATCTACCATCTTCCCCAGGAGTTTGGGGACCAAGACCTACTACAGATGTTCATGCCTTTTGGGAATGTTGTCTCTGCCAAGGTTTTCATTGACAAGCAGACCAATCTGAGCAAATGTTTTGGTATGTTCTGTTACCTCGTTTTCATATCAGAGCAGTTTGGAAAGTTTGTCCCACCTCTTCCTTTAGTTCTCCCATCTTCTCCCCTCAGGAAAGAATAACCAACTGATGTATGATGAGAAACTTTTATTGTGAAACATTTAAGTCAGTCAGTTGCTGCTCTGCAGCTAGCATCTTAATAGGCTCATTGAAAGAACACACTATAGTATTTCAAATAACTAAAATCTTTTAACTGAAAATATATCCACGCAAACAAGTTATATGTAAGCAAAGCATTGCTAAATAAGAAAGCAACATGACTCTAAACTTAAAAGTAGAGTTAGCACAAGAATCTGCAACCTTAAAACACTCAAAGAGCCATTTGGACCCATTTCCCACAGAAAGAAAACATTGGGAGCCACAAGTCCTGGGTGGGTGTGGCCAACTCAATATCACTCACTCCCACCCAGTCACATGATGCCCTAGCCATGCCTTACCCAGCCACAAAACCCTTCTCTCTCTCTCTCTCTCTCTCTCTCTCTCTCTCT